ATCTTTTCAAAACACCAGGCAAATAATCTATTTCCTATTCGAAATCCGTGTTAGGAAGTGTAAAAAGAAAAATAACCTTGCTTAAGATTTCTCATCCATTATGCTTTAGAAATGGTTTTCAACCAGTGTATTTGATATTTAGTGGTTTGCAATATTTTGTATACAGTTATTTTAAATATAAACACTTCTGTGTGTATAAATTTGTGTGCTTGAGTAAAGTTGCCTGTGGTTATGAGGGAGAGACAGCATTAGATCTCTCTGATTTATAGAATTTCTGCTGCTGCTCTGTTTGGTTGTTTTTTTTTTGTTTTCAGCAGAGCAAATATTTTCTAATAAATCAAATAGTAATGATATAAAAAGCAGCTGTTAGTCCATGAGCTTTTTTGAATATATATCAAGGAATGCAGAGAAACCTCAAGTGGAAATTGAACACTCAATTTCAGCCACTCATTGACACTTGCAATTCTCATTTGAAGACAAATGTGCCTGTGTAAAGAAACAGTAATTCACCTGCATTTGGAGCTTTTCCCTGACCAAAAATCACTGCAGGCTCGTTGGCTTTTGCCATCTTGTGTTAACAGAGCTGTGATGTTGTAATCACTCACAGGCTGGGGATAATTCCCTTCTCCTTTGATATGATGGGAACATTATGTAAAATCATTGCTGATCTGTCAGGGAGGCGCGGTGTCCATAGATCTGCCTGTCCTTTGGTTTCATCCCTCAAGGTAAAGCAGCTGCTGGTGGCTCAGGAGAGGCCCAGAGTGCTCCTCCAGCCCGGATTGATGCTGTTCCTCAGCCCTGGGATCCAGAATCAGCCCTTTGCATCCTCCCAGCCTGCTGCACCCCATCCCTGCAAGCCTGCTCTTTGTATTCCACTCACATTAATTGAAGTAATTTTGCCACTGAAGCGTGTTTCAAACCTCTGCATTTAAATTGAAATTTTAATTCCCTTATTGTTTGGAGAAGAAGGCTGAGGATGGCTTGTTACAGGTTTCATTATCACTCAGAACTCTCCAGCTGCTGGTTCTAATGTGCAGTGACTGAGTAATGCAGGCAAGGATTGTTAATAAAAGACTGGCAGCTTTTCCCAGTTGGATAAACACAATGCAGAGGTACTTTGTGACAGCTTACATTTGTATGAAGTTAAATTTTTTTTTTTAAGTGACAGCTTTTTTTTTTCCTTTCTGATTCTGTATCCAGCCAGAGCAGCACACAAATATCAGATGTTCCTGTTGTGTGTTCCTCCAGCATCTTGATAATTCCAGGAGCACAGGTTTGCTGTCCTATAATTGCACATTACAGGGTGTCTGAAAGAACCCATTTCCAGCATCCTTTGAATTGTGAAGCTTTGGAGAATTTGGGAATGTCTGGAACAGATAAAATGCCTGTTGGAGCTGGAATGCATTTGAGTCATTTTCCATTTCTTTATGTGCCTTTTTGATAGAGCGAGTTTGTACATTTGCCTGAAATGGAGCTGCTTTTTCACACACTGAATTCCTGACAGCAATATTCACTTTTATGGGGCACTTCAGCCATTTGTGGGTGCTTTTTGTTTAATGTAAAACAAGAAAAGAATTCAGGGGGGCCCTTGTGGCTCTGCACAGGTCCCTGCCAGGAGGGGACAGCCAGGGGGGAACAGGAGGAGGGAATGACCTCAGGCTGGGCCAGGGCAGCCTCAGGAGGGATTTTGGGAGAATTCCTTCATGGAAAGGGCTGTGGGGATGGAGGCCCCATCCCTGCAGGGATTTCAAGCCATGTGCAAGTGGCACTTGGGGACACGGACCAGTGGTGGCCTTGGCAGTGCTGGGAGTGATCTGACGGGGAGAGCCTGGTTCAAGCGTGGCTTAAAGAAAGAGGCCATGAAAGGATTCAGCTAAAGGAAAAAAGCAGCCTTTCCCAGGCTTGATTCTGTAAATAATTAAAGTTCTCAACCATCTTTTATATAAACAATAAGATTCTCGGACCGTTCTGTCCTTGGCTGCTACTGGGAACAGACAGCCAGTCTGGGAACAGATATGAAGGTTTTGAGAACCTTCATATTATGGTGGGAACACTGATCTTGGTTTCAGTAAA